GGCCCTGAGTGCGTCTGCTAGATACACATATCGTGGATAAACGAAGGCCCCGAGTGCGCCGTTTATTCACAACCCACGTATAAATAACAACACCGATCAGCGGTCCTTCATCACGCTGTCTGTGCACTCGCTGGGCTTGCCGGGCGTGCCTGCGCGCACTCCGCGTGCGGTAGGCATCACGGTCGGTGTTTCGCCGGCCGTCCGGCTACTTTTTCCGGCAATGCACTTATGACTGGACATGATTTGACTTAAATTACTTAAATATGCAAAAAGTGTTCGGGACTTGCCGGTTAAAATTTGAAATTACTCGGAGGGAGCTTATATGGCATCTCCGAGGGCATTTTCATATGAAACTCGAACCGAACAACGAGATTTCGACATGATCTCCTTACAATGAACTAAAATACATAAAAAGAGGGTAAACAAGAATGTACCCTTCAGTTCGGACGAGGATTGCACGATGACTTGCGTGCGTGTGTAGTGCTTAAACGTGTGCGCCTTAACTTCCCTTGTGCTTCCGCCTTCCTTAGCTATTTTTATACGATTTTTGTAAATTATTATCCTCACTATTTCTCCCTCAATTATGTGCTGAAGTTGGTCTGAACTTGGTGCATGAAAATGCATGGAATCAATGTCCACGTTCGGTATTTAAAAGGAGTAAAAACCGTGGGTGAAGATGGGTCAAAGGAGGTGAAAGATGACCACACTTCCCTTGGTTACAAGTGTCCAAAACGTGGCTGATGTGGGGCGTCCCTTAGCTTAGTCACGGCCGAGGTGTCAAGCATGCACGGGCTTAGTCATCGCCCGTGCGTGTGTGTTGTGCCATGTGTACGAGCACCTAGGTGACTCATCACTACAACTTGCAACCTAAACTCATCCTTTTAATTTTCCTCACGGCAATTTGGAAGATTAAGACTTAGCTTACTTAATCATGATCATAGCGCTTAGGGGAGTATAAGTGAGTGCTTAGCGCCTAATAGTGCACGCGTATGCGCTGCGCGCGGTGATGTACGCTGTGCGCGTTCGTGTGCGCGGCCTCGCGTACGGGTGCGTGCGACGTGCGCGTACGCGTATGTACATGACGTACCTTGTGCTCGCTCACAACTTAGCTTGATTTTTAACCTTGAACTTAGATACATTCTCAATAATTAATCCCGATTAATAATGTCTGTATAAAATAAGCGGTTCGGAAATTAATTATTGAACTTGACTCGATTAATAATTAACCGGATAAACTTTTCGACTTAATGTCGAACGTAATAGCTGAAAATAAACGGAATTAATAAAGGATAATACATCATTTATATTAACAAGAAGTCGGGTTATTACAATCTACCCTCCTTAAAATATTTCCGTCCTCGGAAATATAAAACAAAACATATATACATGAAAATATACATATCAAAACTGAAAGTCAGGAAAGCGCGCATGAATGTCAGCCTCCTGCTCCCAAGTGGCTCCGTGGCGATCCCACTGAATACGAACGAGGGGAACATTACGCTTCTGGAGTCGTCAAACCTGTCGGTCCAACACAGCTACCGGTCGCTCCTCATAAGATAAGTCTGGATGAATTTCAATATCAGTATGAGGAATGACATGATCGGGGTCGCACACGTACTTGCGTAACATAGATACATGAAAGACATTGTGAACACTGGATAACTCGGGAGGTAAGGCTAAACGATACGCAACATCGCCCACTCGCTCGAGTACTTCGAATGGGCCAATGAACCGAGTGTGTAACTTCCCTCTCTTCCCGAATCGAATAACTCCGCGAAATGGACTAACTCTGAGAAAAGCGTGCTCGCCCACCTCGAACTGGATATCTCGTCGATGATGATCGGTGGTTGATTTCATTTTGCTCTGAGCTGTCCTGAGTCTCTGCCGAATCAACTCGACGTGCTCGGCTGTCTCCTCGATCAGCTTCGGACCGAGTACTCGACGTTCTCCGACGTCGTCCCAATAAAGAGGGAAACGACATTTACGACCGTATAGTGCCTCATAAGGAGCCATCTGAATAGAAGAATGATAACTGTTGTTGTACGCGAACTCTACGTACGGCAACAACGACTCCCATTTAGCACCCTTGTCAACAGTCAAAGCACGTAACATATCCTCCAACATCTGTATAGTCCGCTCCGTCTGTCCGTCAGTCTCGGGATGGTAGGCTGAACTGAAGGCTAGCTTCGTACCCATTGCCTCGTGTAAACTCTTCTAGAATCTAGTAGTGAATCTGGGGTCTCTGTCTGACACAACAGTAACAGGTACTCTATGGAGTCGAACGATCCCACGGACATAAATCTCAGCCAACCGATCCAAAGACATACTCATCGATACTGGCAGGAAATGAGCAACCTTAGTCAATCTGTCTACCACGACCCAGATAGCGTCGTGATGTTCAGACGACCTCGGTAACCCCGTGACAAAATCCATCGCAACCTCCTCCCACTTCCACCTCGGAATCGGAAGTGGTCGTAGAAGGCCTATGGGACTCTTATGCTCGGCTTTGACTTGCTGACAGGTTAAACATTTTCTTACAAAGTCGACAACGTCTTTCTTCAATCCTCTCTACCAAAACGACCCTTTCAGGTCATGGTACATCTTTGTACTTCCTGGATGGGCTAGATAGGGTGCAGTATGAGCCTCAGATAAAATCTCCTTTCTCAATGCTTCGACTTTAGGCACCAAAATCCTGCCACGAAACTCCAAGGCCCCACCAGTGCCTCGGTGAAAACCCTCGATGCCTCCGGCACGAACCTTGGCATCAATCGTACGAATAAACTCATCTGAAGCCTGCTCTTGCTGGATTCTCTTTCTCAACATCGGCTGAACCTGCATGGAATTCACACTCCCCGTACTGGAAGTGGGAAGTGCATCAATCACCTGAATCCGCATCCGGGCGAACTCCTGAATTAACTGGCTCTGCTGGGTAACAACGTATGTCAAGTCACCCTTCACCTTGCGGCTTAGGGCATCAGCAACAACATTCGCCTTTCCCGGATGTTACTGGATCGTACAATAGTAATCCTTGACGAGTTCTAACCAACGGCGCTGCCTCATATTGAGCTCCTTCTGAGTAAAGATGTACTGCAAGCTCTTATATCAGTAAAGATTTTGCATTGACCACCGTATAGATAGTGTCGCCAAATCTTGAGGGCATGAACAACTGCAGCTAATTCCAAGTCGTGCGTCAGATAGTTCTGTTCATGTGTTTTAAGCTGGCGTGACGCATAAGCAACGACCTGGCCATCTTGTATAAGCACACATCCCAAACCCTGCCTCGAAGCATCACTATAGATGGTGAAGCTCCGAGAAGGATCTGGAATAGTCAACACCGGTGCCGTCGTAAGCCTCCTTTTCAGCTCCTGAAAACTCGACTCACAACGGTCTGTCCACTCGAACTTTACAGACTTCCTCGTCAGGTGAGACAAAGGGAGTGCAATCTTTGAGAACCCCTCAATAAATCTGCGATAATAACCTGCAAGGCCGAGGAAACTACGAACCTCGGACGGATTCTTCGGTGCTGACCAATTTTGGGCTGCAGCAATCTTAGAAGGATCAACTTCAATACCTGCTGAAGTAATAATGTGGCCAAGAAAAGCCACTCGCTGAAGCCAAAATTCGCACTTGGAGAACTTTGCATATAACTTCTCGCGTCTAAGGGTCGAAAGAACGGCCCTCAGGTGCTCCTCGTGCTCCTTCTGGCTCTTGGAATAAATAAGGATATCATCGATGAAGACAATAACGAACTGGTCGAGAAAAGGATGAAATACACGGTTCATCAAGTCCATGAATACTGTCGGGGCATTACTGAGGCCAAACGGCATAACCACAAACTCGAAGTGACCGTATCTCGTACGAAAAGCTGTCTTGGGTATGTCTGACTCCTTTATTTTCAGCTGGTGGTAGCCTAAACGCAAATCAATCTTGGAAAACATGCAGGCACCCCTCAACTAATCAAATAAATCATCGATCCTGGGAAGCGGGTATTTATTCTTGATCGTCAACCGGTTAAGATCCCGGTAGTCGATACACATGCGCATGGATCCGTCCTTCTTCTTGACAAAAAGGACTGGTGCTCCCCAAGGAGAAACGCTCGGTCGTATGAAACCGAGATTCAGCAACTCTTGAATTTGGGTCTTTAATTCCTGCAATTCTTTAGGCGCCATTCTGTACGGTGCCTTTGAAACGGGTCCGGCTCCAGGGATAAGATCAATAGAAAATTCCACCTGTCGGCTAGGTGGACCTCCAGGAAGCTGGTCTGGAAACACGTCCACAAACTCACGAACGTTAGGAATGTCATGAGGTGAACGTGCCTTTGGCTCATCTCTAACGAGGCTCACAAGATAACCCTGACAATCACCCCATCGAAGAATCTTTCTGGCTTTCACCATAGAAATAACATGTGGCAGAGTACGAGTCCTGGAGCCGTAATAAGTGATCTGATCATTTCCCGGAAGATAAAAAGTAATCTCCCGGTCGTAACATCGAATATCTGTGTTAAATCGAGTTAGCCAATCTATGCCGAGTATGAGGTCAAAATCCCTCATCTCGATAACATAAGTATCAGTAATCAGAATACGGCCGCCGATGGAAAGGCTGAGATCGGTGGCTCTAGCGTCAGTCACTATCTTTCTTCCCGAGGCTAAACTCACCTCGAGAGGATCGACAGCGGTAGTGGAACAAACCCCAATAGCTTCGAGACATCGTCGTGATATAAAAGAATGGGTCGCTTCGGTATCAAATAAGGCATAGACAGACACATCATTAAGAATAATCATCCCGGACATGGTACCTGGGTGCTGATCGGCCTCCCTCTGATCAACTGCAAAGACGCGGGTCTGCTGTCTGCCGCGTTGCTGTTGCTATGGTCGTGGTGGTTGCTGCCTGAGCTGCTGTTGTTGAGGTTGCTGTGGTGGTTGACGTTGTTGCGGTTGTTGTTGCAGTCGTTCTGGACAGTTGTTGCTGAAGTGACCTGGTTGGCGGCAAAAGAAACAAACATTCTGGCCCACGAGGCATTCTCCACGGTGGTGTTTCCCGCAGGTTGGGCATTCTGGATATTGTCTGGGATGGGTCCTCCAGTTGTCTGGGCCCCCTCTAAGCTTCCTCTTCTTCTGGTTTGTTGATGGTTGGGCTACCTTGGGCTGGGCTGGTGGCTGAGCAACTGGCTGGGCTGGTGTCTGGGTGGCTTCTCGTCGGATACTGGCATCAACTTCCTGTGCAATGGCGACTGCGCGGGCGTAGGTCTGGACGCCGTGGCCTACGATGTTGTGGCGAACTGTTGGGCGAAGTCCGTCGGTGAAACGGTGGGCTCTCTTCGCCTCCGTACCCACAAGATCAGGTACAAAGGCTCCGAGACGGGTGAACTCTCTTTCGTACTCGTCGACAGTACGAGTACCCTGAGTGAGTGCTAAGAACTGGCGCTCCATGTCTGCTCGGTAATACGAGGGATAATACTTTTCTCGGATCAGCTCCTTGAACTGGTCCCACGTACAACCGTCTTTTTCACCGGGACGCATACACCAATAGGCTTGCCACCAGAGTCGGGCATCACTGGTCAGCTGGATCTGGGCACATAACATGTGATAACGATCAGGGCAGTTCATGACCTCGAAAATAATCTCGAGACCCTGAACCCATTCATCTACTACACGAGGATCTCCTTGGTCGAAAACTTTTTTGGATGGTAGTCGCGGAACAAAGCGACCACTGTGGCCTGTGGGAGTTCCTGGTGATCTGGCTCTCTACGAGGAGGCATTTGAACATTGAAATATTTAACATGATTAAATAACATAAGAGATTAACTGACTGATTACTTAAGTACACAGATCTCTTGACGAGTCGCTAGATAACCCGAGAATAATAAAGTCAAACTATCAAATAATTGGGATAATCGATTAAGTTCTGACCATACTCAAGCATCTTACTGGTTTCTAGGGTCAAATATCTGATACCCTCTTACTGAGCATAGACTTAAGTATTCGTTTAAATATATAAACTGTAACTCAGCACTTACCTGATAGTCGGCGAAGCGTGAGCGTAGCGTGGTCGGGTCTTTTCTGAAAATTTCTGACTTTAAAAGTATTCAGATACACAAGAATGTGCTCTGATACCAATTTGTAACACCCCACTAGCTTACTAAAATTAGAGTGCGATTTTCGCAAATTCTTTTCTAAAGTTTACATTTTATTTTGCGAAACATATCTCGGGATGCTACATAAAATATTCATTTTCTAAAAATCCTTTAACTTTATTAATTTTCTAGAATCATTTACGAAAAACGGATTATCTTTTAGAAAACAAGCGCGTAATACTGTATAAAACTTGACCCGAAAGTTCGGATCGTCGCCTGAAAATTTACACGCTAGTTTGGAAGTCTGAAAACGTCAGCGAAAGTAAAACGTGGCAAATATATACATATCAACAGTCTGCAAAAATGTATACATATTTACATGTACTGGACCGGCGACCACCAACTCCACTCACTCCTCCGGACCGACCCTGTCTCCTAAAAAGAATCATAATAGTGGGAGCGTGAGTACTATAAACACTGTACTCCGCAGAAA